GGTAAAAGCACCTTGTTAACTAGCTCAAAGAGAAGCTGATACTTAGGGAGTAATACCTTCTTATGCATATATTCCCCCTGCTGAATAGCTTGCTATTTCATGATAGCTCTCCTAAAGTTGACACCACAGACACCTTTGACGGAGGACATTCCTTCACATGGAATTTGGAGAACCTTCCCTAATGCTGAAGCTTCAAGTACAATGTGCACTCCATTTACTAGCACACAGATGTGATCCCCCTCAACAGTGAAGAGAGATGCGTAGAAACTTTGTACCGCATCTTCATACCAAAGGCATGGTCTCCTGAAACAAGTTCTCCCATTGCTGAAATTCCACTATCTCCATAATTTGCCTCATACTAGCCATCTATGAAATTGCTAGATCAAATATACGACCCCACAAGACTTTATGAGTTCTTAATCTCTCCTGCCAAAGACCACTGTCACTGGGTATGGTCTTCAGAGAACCAGGTTCCCCTATAGTTTCCCATTTTTGTTTTCTAGATCCTTCAATAGACTTTCCTTTCTGGCTTACCAGCCCCACAATATCATCTTCAGACATAGCTTGCTCAACTAGACTCTTCTTAGACTTACTACTACCCTTCACGGATGCTCCACTTTGTTTCTCAGTAGCTTCAATGGAAGCTTCATTCCCAGACTTCTAGGCTTTTATAGATTGTTCTACTAAGGAACCGAGTTCCTTTAGAGCATCTTTGTCAACCTTACCTACTGGAATGTTTTTGTCAGTAACAAATTCCCTTTGATTCATCAACCTCTTCTTCCTTGTCTTTACACTCCTCCTACTTTTCATCAATGTAGACTCAAACCCCTCTTTCTGCTGCAACCTGATAGGGGGTGACTTGGAAGAGGATTCTAACGACTTAGGGTAATCAAGAGATTTAGGAGTGGATTTATTTGGATGAGAATCAGGTCCTCCAGCAGGTTTTTCTGGGACAGTTTCATGGATTAGAGATTCAAAGAGTACCATAGTTCTTTCATCGCCTAGGAATGGAGTTTCTTCCTCCTGATACTCAGACAAGAGATAGGTTCTTTCATTCAACATACTTTTAGTAGCGATAGACATGATATTATGCTCTTTTTTGGTGACTATGTGAGAGCCACTGAGTCCAAAAGGGAGGAGTTTAGATATTGATCAGGATCATCCTCAGAGTCCTCTGACACCTGATAGGTGACCCTTTCTGAGTGTTCTTTGGTGAGATTAGAGGAATGAGGAGACATGGGGTTTTCAACACATGGAAAGGAGACAGAGTTTGATAGAAAAGAAAAAATAATAGGAAATAAGGAGGAAACATGTGTGGGTGAAGTAGTATTGGAAGGAGTGGAGAGTGAGTTTCTGGAGATGACTTTAAGGATGATAGGAAAGTGGGAGTGGTGTTGATGGTGGGAGAAGGAAGCGATCGTTTGATTACCATTATAGGAGGATTGGATAGGTAAGTTGAGTGTCAAAGAGATGAAGAGAGGATTACAGAGATACAAAAGAGATGAAGGTTCATGACTTTCTATGAGAGAGAAAAAAGAGTTTTATGGGAAGAAGGGCTAATGATGAGAAGAGAGAGAAATGGGTTCTGAGTAGTCCTAAAAACGGCGATAGGTTTGTGGGAAAATGTTATCGTGCAGAAGGGATGAAGGGATTTGAAAGACAAGACATGCCATGCCGATTTTGAAAAGTTGGATGATGTGGCAGTTGAATTAATTTTGTTAACCCTTTTTGAGAAAGCATGCAAAATAACACATTACTACTAACCTGTGGCACAGGAACCTGATGCCCGAATTGTTTTTTGAAAAAGATTTTAGCAGCTCTTCTTTCGCAATTCATAATTGCACCTTTAGCTTCTATGATCGTCATGCGTGTTTACCTGCAACGGTATCGATGTGAGTTAGGCTTGGCTAGAAAATACTTTAGCTCATTTTACGTGAAGGTAATTTTCATAGCCAACTGATGGAGAATCAAGTTCTCAATTTGGCTTCAATACCCCCAGATTCACCTTGTTTCTTTCACAGAGTTCCCTACTCAAGGCTTTGGTAAAGATATCCGGAATTTGGTCTTCTGTGCTGCAGAACTTCATACAGATCAGCCCTTTCTCCACATTATCCTTCAGAGAATGATGCCTCACATCAATGTGTTTGGTCTTTTTTATGTTGAACTAGATTCTTGGCCAAGTTGAGTGTACCTATGTTGTCATATAGAAGAGGTACCCAATCAATGAATAACCCAAAATCCTCCAGTTGCTGCTTAATCCATAAGAGTTGAGCACAACAGGATACTGCAACTACATAATCTGCTTCAGCCGTTTCAGGGACCACTGAGTTTGCAGCCTTGTGCACCAAGACATGAGACATGATCATAGAAAATGGTCATTCCAAAAGTCCTTTTCCTGTCCACAAGATAACCTGCATAGTTAGCATCAACATATCCAATGAAATTTAAAGTTGTCACCTGAAGGGTAATACAGGACTGGGTCCTGTGTTTCCTTAAGGTATCTCAAAATTCTTTTGGCAACCTTCAAGTGAGATTCCCTGGGATTTGATTTTGGGTACTATCTGTGATAAAAATATAAAAAGGACCAGGGAATCAAGAGGGGTGATTATGCTATCGAGTGGATAGGAGCTTTTGTGTTTCCAAATGGGGACTGAAGTTTGACGAGTGGAGAAACTAGGTAAATTAAGTGGATTTCCCTGCACTACTTGTTCTGTTACTTGTGGAGTACCTTGCACTGCATCTCCAACTATTTCTTCAGTTTCAGTGGTAGAAATTGAAGTACCAGGTTCCTCTTGAGAAGTGGAAGAGAATGTTGCATTGTCTTCATCTGTCTTCTTAATCTGACTCATCATATCAACTTTCCCATTTAAAATATCAAAAATTTCCCAGGGACAGAAAGTAGTTCATTATCTTGATCGTTACTATTTCCTTCCTTGTTAGAAGAAAGAGTCTAGTTGAATAGCTCATGACCACTTTCTTCCACACATTGTGCTCTTTTGTTGCAGACTTTGTAGACTTTTTCTTTAAGGGGAATATCTCAGAGGGATTTCTTCACCAAGTTTTTTTTATTATTAGACTTCCCAAGTTGGTCCTTTCTTTTGTTGAGATCATAGAATTTGCATCCAAAGATTCTTAGAAGAGTTATCTTTGATTGTCTTTCGTTGAGCAACTCTTGAGGATTTTAGGAGTGACCTGATCATATACCTGTTCGCCAAGTAGTAAGCAATGTCCGTTGCTTCTACCCAGAATTCCTTGGCAATTCCTCTGTTGATGAGCATTGTCCATTTCTTCCAGAGTTCTGTTCTTTATTTCAATAACACCATTTAGCTGTGGAGTCCTTGGTGCTGAGAAATTGTGAGTGATCCCATTTCCATTACCAGACACATCAAATCTTGGCATTGACATATTCTATCTTGTGGTCAGATCTGATACGTGCTTCCTTCAGTTTTGTCTCCACTTGGATCTTCCTGACAAGTGTCACAGATACTTCAAACCTGGAACAAGTAGTGTCCAGGTGGATCTTGAATTTTGCAGCCCACGAACCAGGTTCTTCTGAGTCAGTTCATTCAGAAGTGAGAGCCTTGAGTGTTCCAATCCTTTATGCCAATGGTTTAGCATCATTGTCAACAGCCTTTAAGCAGCTCATATCACCAGTTTGTAGGGATTTAAGGTCAGCAAAGTATATGTTCTTGTTCTTTTAGCGATTACGTCCACTTCACCAGTTACCAGATTGGTAACTGTGCGCATTTTTGATAAGAACTCCACTTTGCTCCCTTTAACAAGATTTGAGACACACTCAAGAGACTGTGCTTCAGGCAGCTCTCATGGCACATGCCCTCAATTGAGTGTGACACAGACTTTCCATCTTTTCGACACTAAGAATGTACCCCGCTTTCCTTTTCCCATTTTTTTATTATACATATATAGGATACATTCTCTTTTCTGCAGGGCTTTCAGTGAGAGACAGTCCATGGTGTTTTTAGCATCCACTTCTTCTTGTTGTTCCCTGCACATATAAATCATGGGTTAGATTTAGGAACCCAAACTAGTTTGGGTCCCTTGTTATGATAAAATGGATGGATGAGGGCTTTTCTAGTCCATGTAGGCAATATTCATTTCTTTCGAGCGATACCTGGTCCCTCTTTAGTAGTTACTTTTTCAGTAAACACTTTGTTTTTCTGAATAGATTGAACCTTGGCCTGGCAGTTTTTTTTGAAGTGCACATTGTTCCCACTGTGAGTACACAGCCAGTTATCAGGAACAGTGGCGTAATTGCTGTGAGGGTTGTAGGGAGTTTTCTCCTTTTAGAACCCGATTCCCTGCCTGTTTCCACTATTGTTGAAGTACATGGTAGTGACAACATCTGAGGACCAGGTCCACTTCAGAGATTTCTCAAGATCAATTTTTTACTTTCTCCAATTCAGCTTGAAGTTGCTTATTTTTCTCAAGTTCACCACATAGACTAGTTTTCACATCATTTAATTCCTTCTCAAGCTTAATGTGTGCCTCACTAGCTACTTCCTTCCCTTCCCAAGATTCACAGTCCTATGTTCTGAATTGAGTCCCTCAATGGTTTTCTCTAGGTCAGTGATTATTACCAAAAAGTCATCCCTCTCTTGCTCGGTAGCTACAATTTTCTCTCCTAGAGTGTGTTTCTCATTGCTAAGACCTTTTATGGTTTCCTTCAAATCAACTACCACTACCATAATGTCATCTCTCTCATTTTCTACACTATTTATTTTTTCATTCAAAACTTCCTTTTCCTTTTCAAGATTAGCTATGGTCTCATTTAGGCCCACTACACAGACCACCAGATCATCTCTAGATTGTTCAGCTTCTCCTAGTTCTATGGTCAGGATTTCCTTATCATTATCAAGGCTAATATGAATCAATTAGAATGTTTGTTAATGACCTTAACTTCTTGGAAGAGTAGGATTTTAGATTCTCTGAACATCCCTGAAATTTACCTCATCATTTTCATCCTCTTCATCATTGTCAGACTAAGCCATCAACGTGAAAAATGAGTCATATTTTGTTTCTTCAGTTTCCACTGCCATCATGGAGTTGTTTTCTGCATCTGGTTCCCCTTCTGATTCACTGGAGAAGTCTCCCCAAGTGGCAAGAGCCTGTTTCACAATATTGTCAGCTGCACTTTTTCGACTGAATGGTTTGTCTGGAATCGGGTTCCTTTTTGCTACTTTGTCAGGGCTTTGTTTGTATTGCTCCTGTTTCAGAAGTGGACAGTCTTTGATGAAATGCCCTGGCTTTCCGTACCTGTGACAGAGATCATTGTTGACTGGGTTAGTTGAACTGCCCCTCTTTGGTATACCACCATTCCTTTGAACCATCTTTTGAAACCTTTTAGTAAGATATGCCATATCACTATCTTCTTCACTTGAGTCAATGTTTTCATCCTTGAGTACCAGGTTCTTTTCCTTCTTTGGCTCTCTCCTTCCAATGTCTTTCTTTCTTTTCATCTCGTACAGATTTCCAATCAGCTCATCCATGGTTAGAGTTTGTAGATCTTTAGCTTCAGTGATGACATTTACCTTACTCTCCCAAGAACTAGGTAGAACACTGAGTTTCCTTACAAACTTATTTCTGGGAATAACATCTCTAAGTGAATGAAGCTCATTTATGATGGATGTGAATCTAGTGTGCATATCCTGTATAGACTCATCATCCTTCATCCTTAAGAGCTCATACTCAATGGTGAGCATGTCAATCTTGGACTGTTTAACCTGAGTAGTTCTTTCGTGTGCGGTTTGCACTACTTCCCATATTTTTTTGGCAGAATCACAAGCTGAGACTCTGTAGTACTCATCAGGTCATATACCATATACCAAGATTTTCTTGGCGCAATAGTTCTTTTCTACGACTTTTATGTCAATATCACTGTACTCCTTTCTGTCTTTCGGCACTATTTGTCCAGTTTCTACAAGCTTCTTCATAGGAACATGTGGACCATCACAAATGATGTCCCATAGTTCTGAATCTTCGGCCATTATAAAATCATGCATACGAGTCTTCCACCAGCCGTATTACTGACCATTGAATCTAGGAGGTATGTAGGTTCATTGTCCTTTCTCAAAGTTAGGTGGAGCAGTCATTAAGATCCTTTCTAGGTGTTAACCTTTTAGAAAGAACCTGCTCTGATATCAATTGTTAGTTTATATGGATCCACCATGCTATAGAGTACCTGGTCCTCTATGAGTTTCCACTAAAAATACTAATGAACCAAACTGTATAGAGATCTGGTCCTATATTAGTTTTCATAGTGCTAACTACTGAACCGGTATGTAAATAAGACACATGATTTTTACGTGGAAAAATCCCAACTCAAGAAGACAAAAACCACGACCTACACTGGTAGGATTTCAACTTCACTAACTTGTAACTACACTATTACAAGCCACTTTGTAATGACTCTATTACAAAGACTTCAATCACTCTAACTTGTAATATACTTATCATAAGCCACTTTGTCACTCACTAGTTACAAAGACTTCAATCACTCTAACTTGTAATACACTTATTACAAGCCACTTTGTCACTCACTAGTTACAAAGACTTTAACCTATGACTAACTCTAGTCACAACACAAACTCAGATGGTTTATGATTTTGAGTTTCCTAAAACAAAGCTTCTAATAAAGCAAGATAGGAGTTACAGTGAAGAACAAATAACAAAGACTCAACAAACCTAAGGACTTAAGATATCTTCAATCTTTGGATCTGGTCCTTGAGATTGCAGCAGCTTTGTTCTTGAGAGAGGTGTTTCTAACACTTGAAAGAATATCACTAAAAATGCTCAAGTAAATATCTTGTGCCTTGCACCAGGTTGTTATACTACAAAAGATATCACAATGGTGATGTCAATTCTTGATACATACTTCTTCTCAATAAGAAGTGACTGACGCACTATCTGCTACACTGTTGCGTATACAGTTGCAGACAGTCACTTTCTACATACATTCACTTTCTGCATTTGTGTTCCAGCTGTTGTTGACTTGTACTTCTATCAGAGAACACCAAGGGATCAGGTCCCTGTTGTGTTCCTCTTTATAGTAGTTCATTTGCTGGAGATCAGACTGGACTTTGTTCATTTGAGATGCGTACCAAGTGAGTCAGGTTCTCTATCTGGTTCTTAACAATAAGTTTGTTAGATCATCAAAACATAAAAAGCATAAGGCAAAGACATTGAAAACCCATCAAGATCTGCTTTGATACCACTTTTGTCACGGCCCAAACCTACGGGTCACACGAGCACCCGGTACCTTATTTAACCGAGTACCAACATAACATATTTTTTTTTGTACTTTCATTGGCAGATAGGCCAAACAGGCTGTCATAGGTTAACCAGAATAAACATAGGGGATCTCAATATAGGACAACCCATCCTGCTATAAAAACTTATACATGTGACAAACGGGCCTATAAGGCCAACATGATAATTTGTAAACTCAAAACATAGGCCGACAAGGCCATAAAAGCATCTGAATACATGACATCTGTCTACAAGCCTCTAAGAGTACATACTTATCATAAAGGTCGGGACATGGCCCCGCTATACCAAACAATACGTGTCTAAATAATACTGACCAAACCAGCAACTCCGGAGTAAATGGAGCATACCAACATCTTCTGCTGAGCTGATAGCCTACTTGGAGGACTCTTGACCTGTCTATCGGGACCAACGGGTATGAAACACAACGTTCACAGGCAATAGGGACGTCATTATGAATAATGTACCGAGTATGTAAGGCACATAAATAAGTACCTAAAAGACATGGAAGAAATATAGAGTAAATGACTCAACCTGTCAGCCAGGATAACTCTGTATATCATGAAATACTTATAGTATCATGCATATGCGTATGAATGTCATGTCANTATATACATACACGCGTATATAACTCCATCTGGTCATGGATCAATGTACATGAGCAATGCATGAGAAGTACGTCAATTAAATCTTTCGGAGTGTCATAAGATCATTATGCCTCTGATTAATATCATGAAGTAAACTTTTTCAACTGACGTATTTTTCTGAGAGCCAGGAACAGATGATAAAATAATAGGAAACATGGGAATTCAAGAATATAGGCACCTCTAATAGTTCTATGAATAGAGTCATTTATGTAAGTTGTGTATTTTCTTGTTTCGTTTGTGTCGTATAGATCATGCCAAAAGAAAAAAGGGATAGCCTTAAAATACTTGAGCCAATTCTCTTGACAATCCTTCTAACACACGTCAATCGCAACAACACTTTACGATGGATCGGAGTAGGAGAAAATCCATATGATATTCTTGGGAAGGATTGTACCATACTCCCTTAGAATCGCAAAATCTCGTTGCTATTACACATTATAATTTTGTATGAAGAATGTTTTTTTTGCACAGGATCGAAGAAATAGATATCATATGAAGGTTCCATCCGTATAAATTATATGGAGTAGAATGCTTTTAGCAACACTATGATATTACCTTAATGAATTTTTGAATCTATCTCTTAAGGAACTAAAGTCTTATACCTTAGTGGTTTTGGGCCCCACTAAGGTGATGATTAAGCCTCCTAAATGCTCAAAATATGACATTTAAGCCGTAGCTAATGACTCACTCAAATAGGATAATGGTGCTGCCACGTTGGGGTTATTTCAATCTTTATCCAATAATTCTTTAATTAATTAGGTAATATCTCATTGCCCAATAATTAACTAATTACCCACATAATTAAGAATTATCTCAAATTACTTAAAATACTACTCATTAGAACACACTTTATACACTATACCATCATGGTCATGTGGTACCTTGTATGGCACTAGTCCATAAATAGCGGGTATTATATCGCGTGTCGTATTTTATCCCAAAATGTCAAACTTCGACAAAATTCACTTTCTTCGATTTGCTTACCTTTTCACCTTCACGAATTTACTCATCCCTTGTTTGAAATAGCATAATACTTATAATCCCAAAATAAATCTCATTCCCGAGCTTACATTGATTCACTTATGACGAAGCTTTAACATACAAAAATGCGGAATGTAATATGTTATTGTCATACTTTCATCAATTTACTTATGACGTACTTTCACGTATGAAAATGTGGGGTGTAACATGGTCATACTCTATTAAAATCACAGTTACCTGCTCATCTAGATCGGACTCATTTTTTCGAGCTTTGGCCAATTAGGCCCGGAGATCCTTAAGCTCCTCTTCCTTTTTGCTACAGAGGAGCCTCAGGGCCTTCTCTTTGCCCGAAACTTTCTTGAACTAGGCCTCACATTGGCTCAACTCAGCCCTGAACTTTACGATGGCCTATACGTAAAGTGAAGATATATCAGTCAAAAGAAAAGAAAGAAAGAGAAAATTACAAGGATGAAAGTAAGTATTTTCCCTAGAAAGGAGATGTTGAGCCTCTTAGAAGATGGTGGGTGCATCATTAAGGTCAGTGGCATCCTCGACCCCAACAAAGCAACCCTGAAAGGGATCTTACTCGAGGACCTTGCTCGGATCGGGCATACGCAGAGTGTTAGCTTCTTCGATTGCCCCCTCGAAATAAGTTGGCAAAGAAAGGAAATGACCTGTTGTCGCGGCCCCGAGCTCCTCACTCGGGGTGTTCTCATTGGCTTCGGGAGTCTCCGCATTTTCCCCCTCCAGTACATTTGTTGAAGGCAGAGGAACGATCTCAACCTCCGGGGACACGGGGGCCTTGCCCGCATCTCTCTTTGGGGTTCCTTCACCACGAGATGAGGTTTCCAGTTCGGAGGGCTTGGCGGCCTCGATTAGTTTCCTGGTTTGAGGCACCAACGCTGAATCTTCACCATCATTTTCTTCATCATCCGGGGAATCATGGGCTGAATCTACGCCCGCTTGAGCAAATCTTTTCCGCAGCATTCGAGCTGGGGTTTTCTTGTCTTGAGGGTCTTCGGGTTTCGAAACCCTTTTTCTTTTGTTGTCCTTCTCAGACTTCAGGATTGAAGACTTGTTCCTTTCCTCGGGCGGGGCTGGCCTCATCTTGGATACATCTCCAAGGCATGCACTAGTAAACGTGAATAAGTTGATGCCACCAACATATAAAAAGTATTTGAAACTTGGGAAAAGCACTTACCATGATTCTTGGCCTCCTACTAGCCCTTCGATAATTCGTGCCATTTGCGCTCATCATATGAGGAGGTCGTGGCCAATATTCGGACCCAGTCCTCAAGATTAGGGACACCGATAGGTGTCCAAGCAACAACTGTAGAAAATATAAAAAAATTATTATGGGATGTGGAAGTTGAGTATATATAGATATTAGGAAGAAGGACTCCACTTACGATTGTAGTTCCATCTCTCTGGGAACGACATTTGTCCCGGGGAATGACATCCGAAGTCCTTACTCTGACGAACCGGCTCATCCAGCCTCGATCCTTGGCTTCGTCGCTTCTGGTAAAGAAGGCTTTCTTCGTGCGACGTTTCAACTTGACAAGACCTCGAAACAGCTGGGGCCGGTACAATCGAATCAGGTGGTTGAGGGTGAATTCCAATCCCTCGGCCTTTTCGGAAAAATAGTGCAGCATGATCACGATACGCCAAAAAGAGTGGTGAATTTGGCCGAGGGTGATTTCGTACGTTTTGCAGAAGTTAACTACCACTGGATCAAGGGGACCCAGTGTGAAGGGGTAAGTGTAAACACTTAAAAACCCCTCCACGTGGGTAGTAATGCTTTCCTCGGGGCTCGAGATCTGAATCACGACCTCATCTCCCCAGCCACAGTCCTTCTTCACATCCTTAAGGTGTGTCTCCGATATCAAGCTAAGATATCGAGATGCATGCTCTCGTCGTCCTGGGACGTCGGGGGGATTTTCAATACTAAAGTCCTTCTTAATTATACAAGGGTCTGTGGTGATTTCCTCAAGGGTTGGCGGCGCCACCGGTTTTGCCGTCCGGGAGGTAGAAGAAGAGGACACTTTATCCTTTTTGGGGATCGTTTTTGAAGTGTTAGCCATGATTTTAAGCTAAGGAATACTTGTTGCACGGGAATGTGGTGTTTCTTACCAAAGCTTGGCATTTTTTGGCACTTAAAGATACGGTGGAAACAGGTGATTAGAGAAAGAGATGAAGAAGGGAAAGATGTAAATAAAGAGTAAAGCTCTTTACTCAAAGGAATCGCCTCATATTTATAGAAGGGCAGCGATAGTTCGGCGGTACTAGTGGCCGACCAATACTGGCGTGCATTCAATGTTTTGGGGAAGTGGGTCGACGTGATGTTTCGGTCACTTCGAATGCCTGCATCACAGAAATGACGTCATCACTAAAGACTTCAGGAAAAAGAGGATCAAATCGTTTTTGATCATCTTATTCTAAGAACGCAGGGACTATCTGTATACGATCAAAATCGTATGCTTCTGACTAATAGGCTCGAGGCCCGTCCTAAGTCTGGGTCCGGGCAAGATCAAGTTCGAACTCAAGGGACCAGACCCAAGTTCGAAGGCGGAGCACGATGCATACCGAGGTCGAGTGTGCTCGACCCCGAAATAGTAACGTTATGGATTTGTACCAGAACGAGCTAAATTCCTGCCACGTCCCCCAGATCATGGCACAAATCCCGGAATAGGATTGTATGATTCCGTACTAGGCGGTTAGTCAGTTGTACCAAGAATATTCCTTACTGTAAATAGAAATATTCCTTATTTAGAGTTCCCCTGCTATATAAAGGGGACCCCAATCATTTGTAAATTCATCTAATCAATGAGCAAAGAATATACTCTCTACCTTTTTGCCTATTGTTCATCAACATTGTCCTTAGCTCTATTGTTCTTACTTAATTGTTCTTACTGTTCTAACACCACCTCGAGGTCACTGTTGTTGAGTAACACCAGTTTGATTCACTTCTATCTTTCATTTCTACTTCACATTTCTTGATTATTAATTGATATTGAACTAAATCACATATCTTTAAAACCACAAATCAAGTTTAATTATTACTCGTATTTTCGAGGTAAACAAATCTAAAAAAAATTAAAGATGGAGAAAGGAGATAGGGTGCAAAAGTCATTAGTGGTGGTGTCAGCCTATAGAGGCAGTGACAAAGCCAGAAATTTCCTTCAAATTTGAAAAAGAAAATTTCGACAAAGAGTGTTCGATATGTGTTATGTACCCTTTAAAATAATCTGATATTTTATCTATATACGCAATATAATTTTTCGACAAAGTGTAGCCAATTAACCAACTTTACCAAAGTGTAGCTTCGTCCCTTTGTAGAGGTGGCTGCCGGTGATAGTAGCTTGTTATAATAATAATAAGTAGAGAATTGGTAAAGGATTATATCCATATGAAATTTTAAATCAACCTTCCTTTAGTTATTAAAATGTTTAAGTTCACTAAGTTTGAAAAGTTCGAGCGCAAACTAGCTACGAAACTTGATATAATTTTGTATAAGATTTTGAATGATTCAGACAAATAAGGAGTGAAAAATGGTTGTGAAAGAGGAAAGAAATAGTGTTCCCTCGTTCCGTTTTCACCTATTTAAATTACATTACCTGGTTAAATATTTTTATTTTGTGACGGCAATTCTCTTTCAACTTTTTCTTACCAATTTTCAGTTAAAAAAGTACTAGTATTAGAGCTTAACTGAAGTTTCTAAATAGTGTATAAGATAATTTTAATTTACAGAAAAAAATAAATCTTTATCTCAATGCTAGACCAAATAACTAAATAACATTCAAATGGATTATACAAATGTTATGTGGTGGACCAGATCGGTTACACTAATAAATTTACCATAACAATTTTTAGTTAAATAGTTATATAGAATTAAAATTATATTTTTTTGATCTCTCATTTGTTACATTAAATTAGTAAACATCACTATAACATGAAAAATTAAAATTTTCATATTATGACTGTGGTGATGGAAATGACAAGGTACAACGCGAAAGTTAACAAAGCCAATATTTTTTTTGATAAGTAACAAAGCAAACCTTTAACACGATAAATTAAACGATAAAAAAAGTATACTAATAGAGGCATAATATTATGCTCACGTCAATTGACCTATACATGAAAAAATTAAAAAATATTCTAACTTATTGAGAGAATAAACTCCCGCTAACCAAGACTCATTAATGACCACATTGTGAATGATACTATATTGTTGTGTGAAGGAAAGATTCCTGTCCAGAACATTTTCCTCCACTCTCAAATATGAAACAGATATATATTCTCTTTTAGAGAAAGTAAATTAATCAATTATGATATATTTCACCATTCCTCCAAGTAACAAGAAAAGTTCAAATATGATAATAAAATCCGAGAAAATTCTAACAAAGACATAGATACTAATAGGAGTAATGTTAACCTTCAAAACTGAGTAATGTTAACCTTCAAAACTTTTTTTTTTTAACTTTAATTTATTCTAGCTCATCATTTAAGAGCATTGCTTGTTGATATGTGACTGAACAAAAGAAAGATTTTAAAAAATAGGAGTATAAATGAATCTTGATGACGTTGTTTATTTTCATTCATCCTATCTCATTTAAGACAACTAGAAAATATATGAGAAACTGGAAATACAGAAATTTGTATTTATAGATCGCAAGCAAAATAAAAAAGGTAATGTGAAGTTAAAAATTGTCACTTGGGATATTATCAGAAAAAAAAGTCCATCACTTAAATGATTACTCAACTATCCAAAACTATCTAGTAAAGTCATCGTTCTTTTGTTTGTAACAGAAAAGTCACTTAACTATACCTATAACATTGAGAAGGTCACTCAACAAAAAATTTTAAACTTTTGATAGTCAAATATCTATCTTACCCTCTAAATTATCAACTTTTATCTTCTTCTTTTTATACTTATAATATTATAATTTCTTTTATTTTTCTTATTAAGCAACATTATGGACTTATCTATAGAATAAATAAATTCTATTTATGCAATAAAAAATTAGTTTTCAAGAATATACAATATCATAATAATAAAATAATTGAGCATAATGGTAAAATATATATGATGTATATTATAAAATATATCTCTATTTAAATAATTAATTTTTATATTTATGTGCATGAAATATATATTTTAAAAACTTTTATTTTCTTTCATTCTTAATTGTGTAAACCTTTTTTTTGAGTATTTGTTGTTAATATCAAAATTATTATTACGAACAAATTGTTCTAATTAAATTTTTTACTATGCTCAATATTTCATTATTCCAACATTATATATGCTTAAATACTATTTTTACTTTATAAACAGAATTTAATTGTCTATAGGTAAGTCCATAATATAAATAAAAAAGAGAAAAAATTATAAATTATAATATTAATAAGTTAAAAAAAGTTAATAATTTAGAGAGTAAAATAAATATTTGGCAACTAAAATAGTTAATGACTTTTTTGTTACAAGCGAAAGACAGATGACTTTAGTAAGTAATTTCGGATAGTTGAGTGAAAGTTTGAGTTATGGACTTTAGAAAAAGATATCACACTTTGTTATTTAGAAAAAAATTTAACTTTAAACTTTCTACATTATCGTTAATGAGATAATCAAAAATTGTGAATTTCCAAATTTAAAGTGTTGCTTGGGCTGAGAGCATGTGGGAACAGACCTTACTTGTGAAATTATACTGGGATGTTGTTGTTGTCGTCGTCGTCTTGAGCTGAGAGCAAAGAAAAAAACCGACTTCTAGTCTAGTAGGAAGTAAGCAAGAAAAAACCCTTCCGATAATACTTTCCTAAACGGATTTAGGGATCTTGCTGCTGTTGCTATTCTTTTGATTTGAAATATAAAGTTGATTAATGTTGACAACTAATTCTTGTGCATATGTTTCTAGCTATGCGGTTTTTAGATAGTTATTACAAATGGAATTTGCTAATATATAGTTGATGACACTTATATATAGGTGTATAAAGGACAACCCGTTGCACAAGGCATCCTACATTTACGCAAGGTCGGGAGGACAATACCTCAAGGGATGTGATGTAGACAATCTACCATAATGTAAGCATTAGCGGCTGCTTTTAGGACTCAAACACGACACAACGAGAAAACCCGTGACCTATAGATGTATCATATTTTAATTTTTAAAAGACTGAGGGGTTCGCAATCTGTTTTCAATCAGCTCTCGTGTATTTGAATCTTAACTATTGTAGTTCATAGTATTATTTAGTGTCTAGTTCGTGAATCAAAAGGTATACTTAACCAAGTACATTCAGAACTTTGTAGGCAAGACTGAAGTAATGCAAGTGAAGCAGGCAAGAATTCAGAACTTTGTTAAGAGTGACTATAAAGCAAGAGTTGTAAAGTAATTCTTGAGAATAAAAGGTATATTTAATCTAATACATTCAGTAAGCAAAGTAGCATCTGTGACCTAATGAGAACAGACATTTTCAGACTACACATAGTAGTTGAATTGAAGTTCTATTGCACATGCATCATGCAAATATGACGTAACTTACATGTTACTTCCAGAAATTTTTGAACCTTCATTGCCAAGAGTCAATCCTGATGAAAGATTGAACTGATCGCTCGCCAGGAAAACTACTGGATTTGATTGCTGGTATTGTGAGCTCAAGCTTGATTCCAAAATCTGGTGGGGAAGTAGCGTATCTGCTTTAGTAAATGCGCATACTCTTTGTTTCTTTGATGATCTTTCACCTTCCGGGCTGTTTATTGGAGAAGTCTCGCGGCAACCAGAATCTGGAGTAAGAGGCTCATGTTGCGAGGAGGAGAATGATTGATCGATAGATAGGCTCTTGGTAGGAGCATGTTCTTGTACGGGCTTATCAACGAGAGGAGACTCGGATGTTGGTGCAGGAGTCCCTGGATCAGTCCGGTTATCGGATTCCGGACCATTTTCAGCTGCTGGTGGAGTGACCCCAGAAACAGGAACTTCCGAGAGGACTCCACTTAGCCGTTGTTGTTCTTCGATTATCTTCTTCAAGTACTTTCCTTGTGCTTCAATTCTAAGCTGTAGTTGTCTTTGAACCTGTAAAATTAGAAAACTAAGTAGTAGTAGGTGGTGACAAGTAACTTTCAAAATTCCTAAACTTTTTGCAGGAATAAAATCCAAGTCCCATAACTTCCTGCTTATCAAACTGATATATGAGATGGAGTGAAAATGAATTAAGTTATCTGTATACAAATATCAGTTCATTTCATAAAGCATGCTCAATATATCACTGCTTTTGATGAAAGAAACCGAATACAGATAGATTTCAAGGGAAATGTTTGAAAATATGTAATTGGAAGGCCACAAACAAAATATTGGCACGCTGGACTTGGGAAAATGGATAATTTAATAGGAAAAAGCCGGCAAGTTTTAGATTAAAGTAGAAGTTAAAAATAGGATGACCAAAAATAGAGAAAAAGAAGGTAGCTAACATCTCCTTGAAACTTTGGTAATTGTTGAAAGACTATAACTGTCGAACAAAATAACTTCCTTGCTAATCAAACAATGTTTTTTCACTTTCTATCCCTTCTCATGCTTTAACTAACCAAAAAGATTCAAGAAGCTCCAGAATCCTCATAAGAAGAATGAGGATAAAGGTTTTTTGTACTGTAAATATGGCATCTATCCACTGCTTTTGCGCTATATATATATATATATTATATATATACACAAATTGTTATTCTTTCTCAAAAGAATTGTTCAAGAAGCACCAGGAGAACATACCTCCAGTTGCTCATGTAGTCGCTTTTGCACCTCCATCTGCAGTTTTAGAGCCTCATTTATCTGCACACCGGCGCTAGAAAAGAGCAATAATTCTCTCATGTCAAATTATAATTATTTCAGCTAAAGAAGAAAGATGATCAGAATGGAGAATGCAAGGCATTAGTAGGTATATACAGCAAATTAGTGTAAATTATGGGAGATTCAATGCTTGTGTCTTCATAAACAGATCGACAAGCAAACAGGGAAATCTACTCACGATGAACCATCCAAACTGCAAAGCATATCCCCTGATTCTTTCTTGTCAGAATTTTTCCCTTGCAATCACAGTTGCGAGCAAAAAAGGTATCAGAAAGTGTTTTACTGGAGAAGCATAAAATCACCACATTTCAAATGAATAAAGTCTCTTTAAAGCTTTAAGAAATAAACATCGTCAACATTTTGAATTCTAAAGGAACCTACCATCAGATGAGGAATCTGGAAGGTATTTAGCAAGTCGATATTTCTGAATGAACAGGCAAATGAATGCAATTTAGTCACTACAATGAAATTCCTTTTTAAGAAAATAACTAGTCAGAAGACGTTTCAGAATATTTTGCTGCTGCATGTATACCTGTAAATGGCTTTTTACATGGTAAATAGTTAGCCCTTGCACACCCATGACTCGAAGAACACCTTTAGGAGTAGCACCTGAATCAGAAAAGGAAATAATGTCAGAAACATTAAATAACCAAAGCCCAAATGTAGAAATACAGGATCACAACCTCCCCTAGTGATTAATTATTGTTAGAGATTTTCTAGGCGTTGCATCTAGAGAGCGTAGCAACTGATCAATGGCAAGGTCTAAGAGACTAAGACACACAGATAATTATAGGAAAAGATCAAACTATTTATGATCCATATATCTGCAGTACTATATTGTCCAAAGCACAGCGGGAAGGTTGCCTCCCTAGCAAGTCAATGAGGAATCTTTTCTCTTATAGATTTTTTCCCCCTTTCTAGAGTGCAAAGGGGGGTTGGGAGGGAAGATAGGAGCACAATTACACTAAACTCGAGAACTTACGGTCCGGGCCACCAAGTTGTGCGACGGCATCAACGAAACGTTCATGAAGCTCATGGGTCCAACGCAATCGTTGCTTTCCAGCAAGACTAGGATTTATTGGCTCCATTGTGTTGCCACCAGCCTAATATCTGACTATACGCACTGTAACGCTTTTATGAACTAAGCTTGAACTGGGACGCCTTTAGCCAGATATGCACACTAGAATCAAAAGAAAAAAAACACACTTTATGATAAGGGAAAAACAAAAAACCCATAACATATGAATAGAGAATGAATCAGAAAGATAAACATACACTTGAACAGTTATAATAATTCTTTCATCAACTAATTCTCCAGTTAACATTCATTAACACTGAATGGATGTTAGTCACTGAGGAGCGGTATCTAATCAGTCTGTTCTCTCTAAAAATGTACAATCTAGTAGAACTACCAGGTTAACTGTACATATTGTTAAATACCATAGGCAGGTATTTAGAAGCAGCAAAATTTTCATGTCGTGTATTATACAGAAAAACATAGCTCCGAGCTGACTTGAAAATTCAGCAGAGTTCGAGCATCGATGAAAAGATAACTGGTAAGGCACAAGTGATGTACTTATAGTGCTAACCACAATCTAACAAACCACAATTTTTTTATTAACGAGTACCCACATTTTAACTTCAATGGAAAAAAATGCATTTAATTTCCAAAAATAAGATTAAGTATTCTCATTTAAATCTAGAGGTATGTGAGTTTACTTTAGATTGAAGTTTTTTTTTTTTTTTAGATAGGTGAGATCCATTATCCAATCGCATCAAAGGTTTATCATGTAATAACTTTTCCTCCATTCAAGAAAGTAAGGGATCTTCATTGATCAGCCCTAAATTATCATATCTTTATTGCTTACCCATTTTACAGGAAGATAAAACAAAAAAGTCTACACCTTCAGCAGAAGCCTTAGTTGTATCAACCATGAAGGGAATCTTCATGCTATGATGACACTGAAATCTCAAACACTCTAGCTACTTAAAAGCTGTATATATGCAAAATGACCTCTTCTAATCTATCAGGAAAATTAGGATGTATAATATTGATCGTTATCTTCCCATCCCTTTAACGACAAGCAACAGCTGATCCAAAGGAAAAGGAAAAACACAAGTTTCCACATTCATTTTTAACTTACTCTTTTGGGAACAGATGGAAAAATACCGTGTTCCCAAATCTTATAGAGAAGTGATAGCGAGTATTATGGAGATATGCATGAAATGGAAGTGCATATTCCCAAACTACAGTAGTGATTGCATATCAAAGTGAATAAAGAACCAGCTTCTGTTGTCTGAAATTTAGGAAAATGATTTATTACCAAGTCAAAACACAATTGACAGAGAAAGCTGGGTTATTCAGCATGCAAAACAAGGGTATGCAGGGTTTACCAAGTTTCTCATAGAACAAATCATAGGTGGAGTGAGTTTCTATGGGAACCAATGGATTTGGGTTTCCTAAAGCAAAAGAATAGCTAAAATTGAGGACTAAAGAAACTCTAGTCCATGCACGTCACAACATGAGAGAAAGCAAACGAAAATGGGAGGATAAATGAATGTGAATGAGAGAGAAAATATGTCAAGAGGGATAACTTCCTCTCCCCTCAATGAAAATAACAACACACTTACATCTAAAACATTATCAGTGTTACAATAGTTTTCTCAAGATGCATGGGGTGTATCACTCTCAAAACGATTGCTCCACTGAAAACTAAAAACATAATCTCAAGAAGAAAGGATAAGAAACTCTAAAAGGTGAACACGTTTGGAAGTAAATAAACTTAGTGTACAGGTTAATATTTATTAACACTATGCTTCAGACAAGTTGATAGCTCACAAGAGCAAAACCATTACCATCTGAATAGTAATGCATGGGTAACATTTACGTACACTTTCAATTTGACCTGCATAGCATTGAAAAAATGGAAAATATATAAGTTAATAATACACAATTCAACTTTTCTGCATCTTTAATCTGAAACACAATCATGAAACAGCATCTATCTGAGTGGACAAATGATCATAGTTTCTCAAAAAAATTCCTCACACTACAGGAACTACATGTTACCAAAGCGGCAGATGTTCACCGTAAAAAATATGATCGATTAAGGTTGGAAAAGAAAAACAGAAAGAGGCTTGAAGGGTGCAGATGCAAATACAACTTATGCTTGGCTACTACGTATTTTGTACTCGAACATAATATCCATAAAAACCTAGATGGCGATTCCGTCCGCTATTAGATGACATTCTTGCCGACTGAGCCAAAAATTCAAAGGACAGAACCAACAACCCAGCTACATGTTTATACTCAAGGGGTACAAAACCACCTAGTTATAAACTTCCTTTGTTTACTTTAAGTACACTGTTTTGACCTAAAATTTTCTTTCTCTGATGTATGAAAAATGTCAAGGAGAAATAACAATTTTACCACCAAGCATCTCAAAGCCTTAAACAGCCCAAAAATTAGCTTCAACAATCTATCAATAATTATTAGCTCATCATTAAAGAAACATTACTAAACCATTTATTAAAAAGGAAAACTCATAATTCAGTAAACTAAAATTAAAATTTTCCTAAAACAGCTAAATTTCTCCATCTTTTAAACTATTTCTTTAAATTCAAAAACTTATAAGCAATTTAACCCCAAGAAATTCAACAACAAGCTAAAATGCTCTGAATTAAAAAAAAAATCATTTCACTAGCTGGGAAACACACCCTTTACATAAAAGACATCATTTCAGCTCCAAGACTAAACATTTTTCACCTTCCATAAAACTCAACAAAATCACCAGAAATTTCCATCAAATTCAGGTAAAAGAAATATTTTTTGAAGAAAAAAGTTAGCTCCAAATCATTCTAGTCAACACTTTTACCTTATCAAGAATATAACCCTAGTTTCATGTGTAAAAATCACACACCAATTCTTATAAATCAAAACCAAAACTTCATTCTAAAACTTCCATACAACAAAACCCCCACCTCAAAACTAAATAAAATACCCAATTTTTCCATCAAATTTTGCTGAAAATGAGAAATTAAAAAAAGAAGAGAATTTTGAAGAAAAAAAATAACGATCTTCACAGAAAAAAACCGACTGACAATCTTACAGAGCTGTAAAAGATCTCTCTTCGTTTTCCTTTTTGATGAGATCTGCGAATTTGGTTCTCTCTCTCTCTTTTTGAGTGCGAAGTGATTTTATTTTTTTAAATTTCTGGAATATTTATTTAAGAGGAAAAATATAATTAATGTTAGATGGGCAAAAAGGAAGAGAACGAGAGATGTGAAAGTGAATAATTTAAAGCTGACCGCGAATTGGATGTCAGTTCTGCCCCTATGAGTGCCCGTGGTGAGAAGGACATTGACAACCCCCACCTTTTTTTAAAAAAAAAAAGTTATACTCTACAAAAATACATGAAATGTTATAAATATATTATATTATGGATGTTCATTTAGTACTCCGTTGTAAATAAGCTTCCTGAAGAAACTTATCCATATGGGACTCTACCGTAAATATGTTTATCTATTTAGTACTATATTGGAAATAAGCTTCCTGAAGAAGCTTATCACTTCGGTACCCAGTTATGGATAAACATTATCCCCGGTAGAAGATTATCCATACCGGGTATAATGAGCTTATCTTTTCAGTACCCGGTTATGGATAAACATTACCCCCGGTAGAAGATTATCCATACCGGATATAATAAGCTTATTCATTC